GTGATTGGGGTTTTGTTGGATGGTGAGGGGTGGGGGTGGGGGGTCCGCCTTCAGAATGTGACACGTTGTTATTGTGACGATCGCTTTCCTTGTTTACCCGCGTTTGTGGTGTTCCTTCTTTCCTATCGAACTTCTATCATCCTGATCTCTCCTCCTTTTTCTGTTTATTACTCTCTTGAAACACGTCTAATCTTCTACAGTTATGTTACCTTGTTGTGTTGCAAGTGCCGTAAAACTCTTACTAAAACTGAAAACGTTTGTGGTGTAATAGAATGGCCCTTCACCGTCGAACGCAGAAGACCCGAGTTCAATTCCGGGACAGGGAGAATTTTTATCGTGTAATATCAGTCTTTCTGCTGATGTGTTCCTCTCTCAGTCTGGGTTTTTATCCCGAGATTAGTCAGTATTTTTTTTATCCAAGACTCATTAGGAAACATCCGAAGACTTCTCTCAGCTTTTGATCTGTAAAAACTCATTGATGTTTTTCTTTCTTTTTCGTTTGACTTTACGGGACTTCAGGCTGAAAATGGTCACTTGTTGGGCTTATTTGTTACCGTTGTACTACTGATTGGGGGAAAGGGGGGCGGGATGTCTGTATTATTTTTTCCGGCAGGCGTGTACTATTTCTACGTCCTTGTACTTCGCCATCAGTGGCTGGTTGTGCAAATTGATGTACTGTACACATGATTTGTGGTGAATTGATTGGTTGGCCCGACAGACGTGGTCGGAAGTCTATCTCGTAAATGATCTAGATGATGTCGATGGAGGCCTAACCGTCTCACCACAGAGGCGAAGACGGCAGGGTAAATAATATGTGTCGGGACGCTGTGCAATCAGGCTCTTGTCAATTTTCACATATGTGTACATATATAGCTGTTTGTCTAGTTTCACTTCCCGGGTGGATGAAGAACGCCCATCTAGTAGCCCCTACTTCTTTACTTTTCCTCTGTTGTTTCTATTTGTCTGTCTTACTTTTTCCCCGCACTAAATAACCTTTATTTTGTCGGTGTGCTTCTCTTTACTGAAACACGTATCTGTTCTTGTTGTTCAAATCCTGCTCCTGGATTTACTCTTGTTTCTTTGGAGAGGCTGGAAATGACTGGGCCACTGGAGCTAACTAGGTCTTTGTTCGACCTTGACAGGCGTCAGTCATATATGTATATGGCCAATGCACAATTGGGATGTTCCTCGGGGGTCAGGTACCCTATTTCCTCGAGTCAGTTATTATAAAGGAAACTGGATTGAAGAATCGTGTGGCAACTTCCCAGCCCACGAGACATCGGTTGCGCTGTGGGTGGACGGGAATGGACGAAGTAGCGTGTCTCGTGTTGAGCGTCAAAGTACGCGTGATGTCAGGAAGCGATATAAACGTAAACGTGACCCGTCCATCGGAACTAACTTGACCTACACGCACATCCGGCGTCTCCCCTTTCTGTGGAACTTCATGTTGATCGCCTTGACGTTATTTTTCCCATCTACTTCTTCTGTACGTTGTCACTCTCTTGTGAACTGATATTTCCGGGGTGCGTTGATAGTCGAAGCAGACTTTTGTGCTGTTGAGGCAAGAGAGGTGAGCAGAGTAAGCCTGATTCCCTGTTTGGACTTCTCTGTTGACGTCTACCCCTTGGCGCTCATATGACCGTATGCTGTTGCGAGCGCAGTAACACCTTACTGAAGCTAAACTAAACTAAAGAGTTGGGCTCCAGTTTTGGTATAGTCCTTATGGCTCCACCGTGAAGCGACATACGGCGCCAGTCTGCCTGATTGACCAGCGGTCTGTCTGTCAATTTGTCAGGGTTAGGGCAAGCTTTTGGGTCAGGGGTAGATTTAGGGTTCTTATTGACCAACAATCTATCTTAGGGCAAGCGTTTGGGTTAAGGTAAGAATAGGGTTCTGATTGCTCAACAATCTATCTTAGGGCAAGCGTTTGGGTTAGGGGTGGGGTTAGGGTTAAGGTTAGGGTCAGGTTTGTGGGTTGGGTTAGGGCTAGGATTAGGGGTCTGATTGTCTAACGGTCTATCACTGTACTGTGTCAAGCGGTCAGGGTTAGGGCAAACGTTTGGGCTAAGGATAGGGTTAAGGTTATCATTAGTGTCATGGTTGTTGATTGTAGT